CTGGGTGGCTCAGTTGGTTAAGCGACTGCCTTTGGCTCAGGTCATGATCCTGGAGTCCCAGGATCGAGTCCCGCATCGGGCTCCCTGCTCAGCAGGGCGTCTGCTTCTCCCTCTGACCCTCACCCCTCTCATGGCTCTCTCTCTCATTCTCTCTCTCAAATAAATAAATTTAAAAAAAAATCTTTATTAAAAAAAAAGACTTGGTGGTCTATCTCAGAGAATTGTTCATGTGCACTTGAGAAGAATGTATTGTTGGATGGAGTGTTCTGTATCTGTCAGTGAGATCTCATTGGTTTGTAGTGTTATTTCCTTATTAATTTTCTGTGTGGTTATTCTACTCATTATTGGAAGTGGGGTATTGAAGTTTCCACCTATTATCATAGAACAATGTATTTCTCCCTTCAGTTCTGTCAGTTTTGCTTCATATATTTTGGCATTCTGTTGTTAGCTGCGTATGTATATAATTATTGTATCTTTTTGGATTGCATATTTTATCAATAAACAGTGCCCTCCTTTGTCTCCTGTAACCTTTTTTTACTTAAAGTCCGTTTTATCTGACAATAATATAGCTTTCATTTGGTTACTATTTGTGTGGAATACCTTTTTCCATTTTTTTACTTCCAACCTCTTTGTGTCTTCACGTCTAAAGTGAGTCTCTTACAGAGAGTGTATAGATGATGAAATATTTTTAATCCATTCTGCCAATCTTTGCCTTTTTAATGGGAAAGTCTAGCCCACCTGTATTAAAGTAATTACTTTATTTCTGCCATTTAGGCATCTGTATGCCGTACCTATCTTTTGTTCCTTGGTTCCTCTGTTATTGTCCTTTTTGGTATTTAGTTGAATTTTTACGGTGTATTTTGTTTTCCTTCTTTCCATATGTATGTGTTTTACTTGTTTTTGTAGTGGTTACCTTGTGGATTACAATTACCATCTTAAAACTATAACAACCTAATCTTAATAATACCAACTTTGTTTCAGTAGTGCCTTCAAGGACAGATACTCTGCTTTTATACATCTCTGTCCCTCTCCCTTGATGTTGTTACTGTCTCATCATCTCTTTGTGTGTCTGTTAACATAAATTTATAAATACTGTTTTATGCATTTGCTTTTGAGAAAAAAAGTTATAAACTAAAAATACGATAGCTTTGGCTTTTATATTTGCCTATGCAGTTACCATTACCAGTGTTCTTTATTTCTTCTTACGGATTCAAGTTACTGTCTAGTGTCTTCTCACTTCATCCTGAAGAACTCTCTTTAGCATTTCTTGTACAAAGCCTACCGGTAATGAACTCTCCCCCCTCTTTTTTTATCTGAAAATGCCTTAATTTCTTTTTCATTCCTGAAGGATAGTTTTGCCAGGCATAGAATTCTTGGTTAATGGTGTTTTTTTCTTTCATGACTTCAAATATGTTGTCCTACTCCCAGCTCACTGAATGCATTTAAAACAGTTGATTTAACAGCTTTGACAAGTAACTTCTGTATCTGGGCTTCCTCGAGGGTGGCTTTTGTCAGATTTTTTTGTTTTTTCTTGTGAATGTGACATATTTTCTTGTTTCTTTGTGTGCTTTATGTTTTTATGGAGAACAACGAATCTGTACTGGACATTCTGAGTAAATTTTTTTACTTGTTGATTGTTGGAGCTGCATGTACTCCTTATTGTGTATGGTTATGGATATTTCTGTTTTATTATCTCTATGGACAGCCAAGAGTTCAAGATTTCCTTAAATGTCTGCCTCCACAAATTTAAAAAAAAGAAAAGGCCCTGTTTCTAAATTTCCCAGTAGCTGCTGCTGTGGGAAGCCACTGCTACCAGGAGACCAAAACCCAGGCAGGTGTCTGCACCGGGTCATCAGGACATTACCAGAGCAACCAAAACCCCCAGTTTTGGGAGAACAAGGTCGCCCTTGCTTGTCATGGCATCAGCCATCTATTCAGGAACATAGGCCCCTATTCCCACATCTGCAGTGGGGCTGAGGAATGGGGGGTGGCAGTTGCTTTGCACTCTGTGCTTACTAATGAAAGATTATCCTTTCATCAAACACTTTCCTAGTCGATGTAACTGACTGACCAGGTTCCAGAATTCCAAAACAGTTGGTTCCGATCTCTCTTTCCATCTTAACTGGTTGCTTTGGTGGAGGGACTGATCCCGAGAGCTGCCAACTATGCCATTTTGCGTATTGTCACTTCCTCTTAACTTTTACACGGGTACTTCTTAACTAGTCTGCTCTGGGGGCTTTTATTTTGTAGTTATTGTGCTCACATAATAGAAGTGTGAGGTATTACAGATGTGAGAATGTTGTGAAAAGCAAGACTGTGTTGGTTTTAGAGCCAAACTGATCTGCATCCAGACTTGCTGATTTACCTTGGGTAAATCTGAACCTCTGTGCATCTGTCAAATAGCTCTTATAATAGTGTGAGAGGAGGTATGTACAAGTGTTATGAGCAGCTGTAAATGCCAGTGTTACACCACCATTAGTTGATATTCCTGTTTTATCATCAGTTGCTAAGCATTTAGTGCCAACCATATTAGATACAGTATGTACACGTTCCCAGCAATAGTTCTGTAAAATGAGTATTTTCTGTTTTTTTTTTGTTTTTTGTTTTTTGTTTTTTTTTTACAGAAGATGAAACTAAAGCTTAAGAGAGGTTTTAGCAATTTTCTTAAAGTAAAATTAGGAGTCAAAGCCAGGGCTGCCTGACTCTAGCCTTGCTTACAGCTGTTGTTCCACACTGCCTCTTCGCTGAGTCACACTGTGATTTTAAGGTCTCTTACTTGTTTTTCTCCTTCAGGAGTCACATGCCATAGGAAAAAAGCCTGAAAATCCAGCAGACATGATTGAAGAAGGGGAGCTTATCCTATCTGTGAATATCTTATACCCTATTATATTTCATAAGGTCAGTAGTAAAACCTTTTGAATTTCACAGATAATATGGGTGACTTTTGTCAAAGGGTTTAATAATTTGAATAGTCACAACCTTTAGGGTTCAAAATAAATGCAAACATACACTTTTATGTAACAGTTATAATACTGGAATTTATTTGTAATTGCTGCACTGGAAGCAACTGAAAGTATATGTAAATCCACAGTGATTGTAATTATGTGAATTCTTGGGTTTGTTTCTTAGGTGTTTTTTGTTTGTTTGTTTGTTTTTTACAGAATAGGTGACTGGTAAAGGAGTAGGGTACCCTTTGTTCACCAATTCAGAATACTTGGGAAGCTGTCAAAACTAACTAAAAACAGCTCTTCTTTGATGAAAATGCAGAAAGTTAACAGAGTATTCAGAAATTTCTTAGAGGTCTCTGATAAAAAGAATTCTACCGTAGCCCCTAGTGTGTATATTCTTGATTCCCCAAATAGATGTCACAAACTTTGATAAGGTTTAATTGAAATATTACTATACATGAATTGCACTTGTGAATAGTCAATAATGAAGCAGCTGGGATATAGTTAGTACTAATTACCTTGTTTGATTAAGATCTGAAATTACCAGTCAAACCAAACCAATAAAACGGAACCTCTGGGTCTATAACATGAGAGTAGTGTATAGATTGTTTGGAGGAAATTTTAAAACACACTGCTGCTGGGGCGTCTGGGTGGCTCAGTCAGTGTAGATTATCCAATTCTTGATCTCAGGTCTTGATCTCAGGGTTATGAGTTCAAGCCCTGGGTTGGACGTGGAGCCTACTTAAAATAATAATAATAAATAAAACACAGTGCTGCTAGATGAAGTTATATTCCAAAGGTTCTTGGTAATTTCATTTTAGTAGCATCTTGATTATAAACTTAGCTTATTTTGTTTTTTTTAAAGATTTTATTTATTTGACAGAGAAAGAGAGAAAGAGGACAAGCAGGGGGAGCGGCAGGCAGAGTGAGAAGCAGGCTCCCCACCAAGCAGGGAGCCTGATGTGGGGCTCGATCCCAGGACCCTAGGATCACAGCCTGAGCCGGAGGCAGGCACCTAATGACTGAGCCACCCAGGCACCCCATAAACTTTAGCTTAAACTAAGAAAGTTCTGTTGCCAAGTGTCTTAGTCCTTTGTGGCCGCTGTAACAAAATACCGCTGATCGAGTGGCTTATAACCAGCAGTTTGTCCCAGTTCTGGATGTTGGGAGTCCAAGCTTGGGGCTAGCACAGGCAGGTGAGGCCCTCTTCCAGGTCACAGGCCTCTCAGGTGTCCGAAGGAGCTAGGCTTTCTGTGGGCTCTTTTATAAGAGCACTGACTCCGTTCATGAGGCTCAGCCTGCACCACCTCATCACCCCCCCTCCCAGAGACCCAACCTCCGAACACTATCACTTGGGTGGTAGGATTGCAGTATCTGAATTTGGGGTGGACAAAGACATTCAGATCATAATACCAAGCGTCTCAGTTGCCTGTGGGATTCTGAGTTATGGAGGTGGCCGAGTGACTATACTAGGGGCCAGTGCCATTGAGAGATGTTAATTACTTACATTTCCTGAGAGGAGCAAGTCGACCACAGCCGCAGGGCCACAGAGGAAAGCACCAGTGACAGTTGGGAACCAGAAGGAGTGAGGAGAAGCCAAAGGCCACAGCCTTTATTGAGGTTTCCATGGGCAGGGCGAATGGTTCGGGCTTGGCTAGGTTGAGTAATTCCAGCAGGTTCGGGGGCCTAGGGACTGTCCCTAGTTGTCCACTACCTGACCTTATATTGATTTAGGACGAGCAAATACTGGCTTGGTGTGTGAGAATGAGAACAAGGAAGTGACTTCAGAGACCAGGCTCTGGATCACGGGGGAGATGTAAACAGTTTTGGCCATTAATTTGGCCCTGTTATTAATGGATGCCAGATGGACAAATACAGAATCTAAGAAAACACAGAACACTAAGTTATGGGGATAACTTTAAATTCAGAAAACCAGTAACTTCATCTAAATCTGGTCAGGACAGGATGTACAGTTTAATTGCTTCGTCTCTAAGTGGACACTTAAATTTTACCACTTGAATTTTAGCACAAAGAACACAAACCATACCAGACGATGCTGGTGTTGGGCAGTCAGAAGCTCACGGAACTGAGAGATTCAATTTGCTGTGTCAGTGACCTCCAGATTGGTGGGGAATTCAGCAACACTCCTGATCAAGCTCCTGAGCACATAAGCAAAGTAAGGTGTTGTGTTTTCTTTTTTTTCTTACCCCTCATAAAACAAGAAGAAATAATAATAGTAATAACAATAATAATAAGCTAAATAAGTAGTGATTACTCTAGCAGACTACTCTACTCTAGCAGACTCATAAATGTTCCAGTAAATCCTTTCTTCTTTTATGCCATTCCATCAAGTTTATCTCTTCCCTTCTTTTTATCATCAAGACATTTTCAGGGGCGCCTGGGTGGCTCAGTCGTTAAGCGTCTGCCTTTGGCTCAGCTCATGATCCCAGGGTTCTGGGATCCAGCCCCGCATTGGGCTCTTTGGTCAGCGGGGAGTCTGCTTCTCCTTCTCCCTCTATGCGCT